TTTCATTAGAAAAATTTCATTATTTTTTATTATTCTCTTTTATCCTTCGTCTCTCGCTACAACGGTTCTTACTTGAAGTAGTAGATCGAGAGAGAACTTTAAAGTTTCGCAATTTCTTCAATTTTTTTTTTCAAAATTTTTCTGTTATCTAAAAAAAATCTAACTTTCTTTCTCCAGAGTTTTTTCCGGGATTCTCCTTTTTCCCTGACAAAAAATTTTCCGTTTAAAAAGTTTGTAATTACTCCACCAAAATCTCTTAAATCTTCCGATTCCAATTCCAATTTTCATTCGTTGAAATGAATCTTCAATAGATTTTTCCCAGCGACATTCTCTTGTCTTTTTCCAAATTTTCCCGAGAAAATTTCTTTTTCTTTTCCCGTGAGAAAGTGACCGAAAGCATTTGAAGAACTTCCGTTACTATCTATGGCGATTTCTGAATCTTCTCGATCCTGTTATTAGGGTTTTTCTTCGTCTCTCTCTCTCTCTCAGTAATGGGTTGTGCTTATTCGAAAACTTGCATTGGTCAGATTTGCGCAACGAAAGAAAACAGCATCAGACGACGACCACATCATCAACAAGCTCCGGCGAGAGTTACGACTACTGCGACGGGGACGACGACAGAGGAGGAGAATCCGGTGTTTAATTTCACTTCAGATGCGGCGGATGATGAAGATAACGACGACGAGATTCATCATCAGCTGAGTTTAAGTAGAGACCAAGAATGGGGAATCACTAGACTTTCTAGGGTTTCTTCTCAGTTTCTACCACCAGATGGATTAAAGATTGTAAAAATCCCATCTTGTAACTATGAATTGCGTTACTCGTTTCTATCTCAAAGAGGGTATTATCCAGATGCTTTAGATAAAGCGAATCAAGATAGTTTCGCTATTCATACGCCTTTTGGTAGTAACTCTGATGATCATTTCTTTGGTGTGTTTGATGGTCATGGTGAGTTTGGTGCTCAATGTTCACAGTTTGTGAAGAGGAGATTGTGTGAGAATCTACTTAGACATGGTAGGTTTCGTGTTGATCCTTCAGAGGCTTGTAATTCGGCGTTTTTGAGCACAAATTCTCAGTTACATGGTGATGATGTTGTTGATGATAGTATGAGTGGGACTACGGCGATTACGGTTATGGTTAGAGGGAGGACTATATATGTAGCGAATGCTGGTGATTCGAGGGCGGTTTTAGCTGAGAAGAGAGATGGTGATCTTGTAGCTGTTGATTTGTCTATTGATCAGACTCCGTTTAGAACTGATGAGCTTGAAAGAGTTAAGCTTTGTGGAGCTAGAGTTCTTACTCTTGATCAGATTGAAGGGTTGAAGAATCCTGATGTTCAGTGTTGGGGTACTGAGGAAGACGATGATGGAGACCCTCCGAGGCTTTGGATTCCTAATGGAATGTATCCTGGAACTGCTTTTACGAGGAGTATTGGTGATTCTATTGCAGAGACTATTGGTGTTGTTGCTAATCCTGAGATTGCTGTTGTTGAGCTTACACCGGATAATCCTTTCTTTGTGATTGCTAGTGATGGTGTCTTCGAGTTCATCTCTAGTCAAACTGTGGTTGACATGGTAAGGTATTCTTCCCTCCACGGTCTTGCTTGCTCATTATGGTTCTGTAAGTAGAGGAAGTAGTCTAACAAAATTTTAATGTTTTTTTGTTTTGTTTTTCAGGTTGCAAAGCATAAGGATCCTCGTGATGCTTGTGCTGCGATTGTTGCTGAATCATATAGGCTATGGCTACAGTATGAAACTCGTACAGATGATATAACCATCATTGTCGTGCACATTAATGGGCTAAAAGATGTAAGGAATGCTTATGTTTGTAGACTGTATATCATCTTTTCTTATGTTTGTTGAATGCTGAGGTTAGATTTGGATATTTCTTAGGATGCTCCTCGGCAATTGTCGAGTACAGGGTCAGGGACTCTATTGCAGCCTCCAATTCCACAAGTTGTGGAGCTTACAGGTTCGGAATCTCCTTCCACCTTTGGATGGAACTCTAAAAACCAACGTGTGAGGCATGATCTATCTCGGGCTAGAATACGTGCCATTGAGAGTTCACTAGAGAATGGACATGCTTGGGTTCCTCCATCTCCCGCCCATAGGAAATCCTGGGAAGAAGAAGTAAGAATGCCAGTCTGCTTTGCATTTGCACTTCCAATCGGGAATGCCTTAAGTCATTCTTGACATCTGAGGCTAAAAGCTGATTTTTTTTCACTGCAGGCACACATTGAGCGGGTTTTGCATGACCATTTCCTCTTCAGGAAACTCACTGATTCTCAGTGTCAGGTTTTGCTGGATTGCATGCAAAGGCTCGAAGTTAATCCAGGGGATGTTGTTGTGAAACAGGTCGAAGCATATTCCTCCTTGACTGCAGATTCTGCAACAGATGTGTACAAATAAGCATCTGATATCACAATCTCTCTGGTTTATTCTTTTGCAGGGTGGTGAAGGGGACTGCTTCTACGTTGTGGGTAGTGGAGAATTCGAGGTCTTGGCAACTCAGGTTTGTTTTATAGTAAGTTGATTTGAGTTTTGAGCAGCTTTGAGCGTTATTAAGACTGTGCTTAACCGGTGATGAATGTTAGGATGAAGAGAATGGCGAGGTCCCTAGGATCTTGCAGCGGTATTCAGCTGAGAAACAATCATCATTCGGTGAACTCGCCTTGATGTGAGTTCTCTGCACTTGTATTATCAGAAATAACATTCTCAGGGAAGAAGTATTCTCTGTCTAATGTACTTTCTCGCAATATATGATGGCGACAGGCATAACAAGCCGCTTCAGGCTTCTGTACGCGCTGTGGACCATGGAACATTGTGGGCCTTAAAAAGAGAAGATTTTCGAGGAATTTTGATGTCCGAGTTTTCAAATTTAGCATCCTTGAAGCTTCTTCGTTCTGTTGACCTTCTTTCCCGTCTCACAATTTTGCAACTAAGCCATGTTGCAGAGACTCTTTCCGAAGCTTGCTTCTCCGATGGACAAACAATAGTTAACAAGGTGAAGTTAGTTTCACGTTTTTAAAAGATAACTAACATACTCTACTCCAAAAGATTCTTTTCTCATACCGTTCTGTGAATGTTGTAGGACGAAAAACTTCAGGGTTTGTATGTTATCCAGAAGGGAGTCGTGAGAATTACTTTCGGGACAGAGCTGTTGGAGAGTGAAAATGTTTCAAGCGTTAAAACTGAGATGACTAAAGAATATGAGAATCTTGAAACCGGAACAGAAGTCTCCATAGAAAAGCAAGAAGGAAGCTACTTTGGTGAATGGGCTCTTCTTGGCGAACTCAAAGATTCATTAAGCGCGGTTGCAGTGGGAGAAGTGGTCTGTGTGGTTTTAACAAAAGAAAAGTTCGAATCAGCAGTCGGACCTCTGACCAATCTTTCAGATGACACTCACAAGTATGATTCTACGATTTTCTTCATGTTCCTTTGTTATTGGATTCAGCTCAACGGTTTCATCGGAAGAATAATTTCGTATAATGTTTTTTTGGTTTAGGTCGAGACATTCTTCGTTCGATATCTCAAAGGAATCTGCAAAAGTTACTGATACTACTACTACCAGGGACTTGCTCATAGTAGAATAAAAAAGATCTCTACCTTATTTGGTTAAACTTTTACATATAGGTCTTCGTTTTTTTTTTAATTTCAAATCCAAGCAATGATTTTCGATAAATTTATTTGTGCTTAATACCTAGTCTACTCCACCAAGTTTTGCTATATTAGAGCATCTTCATTGCATAGAAATTCCAAGAGTCACTCATTTTGCGAATTAATTATGTGATTTTCAAATGTTATTATCAAATCTGAAAAATAATGAAAATAGGTATCAACAATATATTAAGAAAATGGATCGGATAATTTGGTAATGGTTAAATCAGGTAGTTTAAGTTGCTATCCGAACTTTGACTAGCTAGATAGAGTATGGATAAGATTATTTTCAGAAAATTAGAGGTTATTATGAATGATTATGGATAATATTGACAAATTTTGAATAATTGAATAGTTTATTTATGTTATCCTGACAATAAATTTGAAATAAAGAAATTCGATTACACCTGTGTACCAACATTTTGGACTCTTCTCTTCGGTTTTTTTTTTAATTTATTTCGATCCAATTATTTAGTGGAATATAACAAAAGAGAAAATATATATTAATCCACTATTTGATTTGGCTTGATTCTACGGCAAATCATCTGCTAATTAAAATAAAAATTAGGCAAATGCAGTGGCCTGCAATCTGCATGTTTTTCTTAAACTTGTCTCCACACTTTTTTCATTTCTGTAAAACAATTTATAACAATTATTTGATTTCGAAAAATTCCACAAATGCACACCACCATTAGCCAAAACTTAATCGATAATCTTAATCTATCATTTTATCTACACAAGCACAAAAAACATAATCATCATTTCACCTAATTTTAGTTATTCAACACACTTTTCAAGTTATATACGAACAAAAATTGCAAATTGTCAGAGAAAAAAAGAAAGAAACTATACATTAAGATTTTGGCGTGTTGTGTTGTTTACTTCATTCCCTTTCTCTCTGTTAACAAACCATTGAGCCGTTCTTCTAGCGATCGGCAACCATAACCGCCGTCTTCTTTCCTCCTCCGTCGTGGTCGCCACACCAACCGAAGTGGACGCTGTAGAAGCGGCAAAACCGCTTCCTCCAATCGCGTTTTCTCTAGGAACAGTCGTGATCTCAGAAACCGCTCTTCTGGATGAGTCTTTGTTCTTCAACATTCTCTTCATTTCAATCTCTTCCTTGTCCCGCAAGTTACCTATCCGCACTCGATCCATCGACGAAAACCGTTCGCTTGATACCGAATTCAACATTTCCGATGTCAAAAACGTTAAATCCGATGAAGTTACATTGCTCCAACGGTTCTTAAACATACCATCTGAAACAACGTTAATCCTATGATTGAACTTATGCATAACTTTCTCATTTCCTTGTTCATCAAGAAACAAAGATTTCTCCTTCTTATTACTACCAATCTTTAGAATCTTCCGGAAACTACTAAACCGCGAAGAACCATCACTGATTCCTTCTTCGCGTTCGATATAAATCTCCAAGCTCGA